TGGTTTGGTGACACAGAAGAGACTTCTTAGTGAGGCTGTATCTGTTGAATTATAAAATGAACTAATTAAATGGACTGACATTTGGTTTGGTGCCACAGAAGAGACTTCTTAGTGAGGCTGTATCTGTTGAATTATAAAATGAACTAATTAAATGGACTGACATTTGGTTTGGTGCCACAGAAGAGACTTCTTAGTGAGGCTGTATCTGTTGAATTATAAAATGAACTAATTAAATGGACTGACATTTGGTTTGGTGCCACAGAAGAGACTTCTTAGTGAGGCTTGTTATCTCTTGAGAATGTTAGTTTGTAGTGAAGTGATAGTTTAAAATAAGATAACCTAAAAGGGCCATTGTTATCCTTTAGAAGGAAGTATAATTTTTGTCACCACTGATCAGTAGTGCCTACCTTCAACAGTACTTTCTTAAATTAAAAAAATATATATAGTTGTTCGATAAATCTTTACATTAAACAACCAACCAGTTTTATCAAACAAAAGGTGAGCTCGCTCTTCTTTAGAGCACAAACAAACCTTCATAGCACTACTGATAGTTTTTAAATTGTTCAATTTCCTAAATCCCCACAGTTAGAGTAATTCAAACCTCACCAAACACATTTATCTACTATATTCTGATAAGAGTATCTTGAGATAACTTGGTGTTGTTGTTGTATTTTGTGATAATTAATATGAATTGTTTGTATGTTTTTGTTTTTGATTTGTTTTCGGAGCATCAGTATTGGACCATTGATTTTTATATATAATGTAATATTAAGTTTAAAGCATACTAGTAAAAGGAAATAAAATCTTTACTTCAGAATATGACACATGACGAACAGTCTTTGTGCGAAGTTACTGGACAAATGTTATGTAATTTAACGCCTGAAATCCTGAACCTTCAGTCGGGGAATTCTGCTGCAAACGAAGTTCGACGACCCTACCTTTATCCTATGCTGTGCTCATAGATTTTAAACAAACAAGCACGTGACATTCTACGGTATACATTCCATAGACTGCTGTGACAAAAGGTAGCTTAAGTAGGACATCGACTTAGAAGACCTGTAAATCACGATATCAGTTGGTGGCCGAAGTGATGATTAACAATTATCCGTAAAATTTAGCGTCGGAAACACCACGTTTTCTTGTGCGGCTCTTTTGTGTGTTTATATATATATAAAAGATTGAGATTTTTAGATCGTATAATTGAGACCTTTCCTGTCTTCAGGGAAAATAATAAATAATTATGCAAATAATAGATATAATTAAGTGAAAGGGTTAGCATATAAAATGTACAATGAATTAAAATAACAGCAACCCAAACTCGAGCGTTATGCTTTTTCAGGAGAATAGTCAACTATTTGAAAGCGTTCGAATTTTTGAGGTTTTTTTGAAATTCATTAATTAAATGAAAATTATATTTTTAACTTAAATTATTGCTGCTCTCTGAAGATTAAATGTAAGTAACCATCATTAATGTTTCCCCCCTTGAGCTAATAAATGCTACATGACTTGAATATCGACCATTGGCTTCGAACAGTCTTCCATTTGTTTTCACCTGTTTCCCTTTGATTTGGCAATAGTGGCATCGTATAGTATGCTGCAGAGTGTCTTATAGCCAACTTTACAGCTGCTTGGAAAGGCAAGTTGAATCTTTCCGAGCCAGAGTGTCTTATAGCCAACTTTACAGCTGCTTGGAAAGGCAAGTTGAATCTTTCTGAGCCAGAGTGTCTCATAGCCAACTTTACAGCTGCTTGGAAAGGCAAGTTGAATCTTTCCGAGCCAGAGTGTCTTATGGCCAACATTACAGCTGCTTGGAAAGGCAAGTTGAATCTTTCCGAGCCAGAGTGTCTTATGGCCAACATTACAGCTGCTTGGAAAGGCAAGTTGAATCTTTCCGAGCTAGAGTGTTAATTTTCCTACTCAATTAAAAAAAATTCTTATCTGCTAATTAAAAGGATTAGGACACTTATGACGAACATTGATTATTTATTTAAAAAGGATAAACGTTTCGGAAGTCTAGAGATTCCATTATCTGAAGAAAACTATCAACAATTTACATTTTAACTCTTTGGACATAATTAAAATTACAATGGTACATTTAGTCTTAGTTAAACAAAAACAAAGTTAAAACAAGAAAATATAGTTAAATTAGGAGGAACGTCAATATTATTGTACATATTAAAAATGTGCAATTTAAATGAAGACTGCGCGTTATTTCGGTTATTATCTAACCTAACTTTCTGTGTGATGTGGAGGGTTTCTTTAATAAATAATTCCAGATCAGTGTTGGCCTTATAGAGGACAGTGAAATTAACTATGTTGGTGTCCCGTTTTTTCACTATGTTGGCGAATAGAAGAAGCACAGAAACTACTCAACATATTTACGTTTTAATGGAAGTTTTCATATGTTCATTGGCTCTGAATTTTGGATTTGCCAATATAGGAGGTTTTATAGTCTCCAAATGTGTATAGAGCTTGTCTTCCATAGATTGGTAAACAAGGCTTAACTCTGAAAACTCAATCTAAACACACAATTCATCGTTAATACCGCCCAAGTTCACCCCAGATTAGGTTTCAACCCCCACTAAAGACCGTACTTACGACATTCTCCCGGTTCCCCATTGCTGTTGGCTTGTATTTTTACATTCTAAATTCTCCAGTACTGGCAAATCCAAATGTCATCTGAAAGTCAGAGCCAATAAATATATGGGAAAATTCAAAAAACGTTGAGTAAACCATGTGCTTCTATTCGCCAACACATTGAAGAAACACGACACAAATACAACAGAGTTAACTTCACTATCCTCTATAAGGCCAATACTGATCTGGAATTATATATTACAGAAACCCTCCACATAAAAGAATATTATCTAACCTAAATAACACGAAGTCTTAATTTAAATTGCATATTTTTAGTATGAATAGTGTGATTGATGTTATTTCTACTTTTAAAAGTTTTCTTGTTCTGTCTTCTACTTTTGTTAACTTTCCAAGCGTTATTTTTTGGGGGTTTAATTATTGTTAAATGTAACATCGTAATTCTAATAATGTCCAAGGACTGATATAAATTGTTGATACTTTTCTTCAGATACTGAAGATAGAATCTGTACCGATTATATATTTAAATAAACAAACAATGTTGTTCATCTCAAGAGTCGTGATCCTTTTTATTACCAAACTTCGTATTCTTTCAAACATGTTGATTTCTTACCTGTTGAATCATGCGCAAGACTGAACTTCAATCAAGACTGAACTTCAAATGTTTCAGGTTTAGGGACAACAAACCCACGGTAGCTGCCTAAGACTGAACTACAATTGTTTCAGGTTTAGGGACAACAAACCCACGGTAGCTGCCTAAGACTGAACTACAAGTGTTTCAAGTTTACGGAAACAAACTCACGGTAACTGCCTAAGACTGAACTACAAATGTTTCAGGTTTAGGGATAGCAAACCCACGGTAGCTGCCTAAGACTGAACTACAAATGTTTCAGGTTTAGGGATAACAAACCCACGGTAGCTGCCTAAGACTGAACTACAAATGTTTCAGGTTTAGGGATAACAAACCCACGGTAACTGCCTAAGACTGAACTACAAGTGTTTCAGTGAAGGGGGTCTACCGGACTATATTGTGAACTAGTGTCTGGTTCTAACACCACAATAGTGAAGGGGGTATACCGGACTATATTGTGAAGTAATGTCTGGTTGTAACATCACAACAGTGAAGGGGTCTACCGGACTATATTGTGGAAGTAATATTCTGGTTGTAACACCACAACAGTGAAGGGGGTCTACCGGACTATATTGTGGAAGTAATGTCTGATTGTAACATCACAACAGTGAAGGGGTCTACCGGACTATATTGTGAAGTAGTGTCTGGTTGTATACATGCTCACTAACATTCTGCTTTGTGTTTGGTAGGTATAATATGATAAGGTTCTAGATGACCAAACGTAGCTTATACTAACCATAATGATAATTTTTCTCCTGGACACATCAGAATGAAATTAAAGTTTTTGAGGTATACAATTGTAGATTTTCTTTTTCTTTTCTCGTGGTTAACCACCAAAAGAAAAATAGGATATTTTAACGGTAATAATGATTTGAATTTCACACGACGACTTATGGCCTGATTTCATATGCTTGAAATCTGTCATAACCTCACGTTTCTATAGCAATGTAATAAACATTTATTGTCAGCTATGAATTTTTAATTTTCCAGTAATCAAAAAGCATATGACACATGAACAAGATGTGACTGAGTGAGAACATCCATAGTGAAAGGGTAACTGATGAGTAACGTGCGTGTTATAATATGAACGTACCTGTAAACCCAGTAAAGCGTGTAACATGCACAGAACCGAACACCAGGTTACCAGTTCAGAGCAACAGAGACCAACAACGTAAAACAGGCATCTCGAAAACAAAGAAATTTATACGAAATTGAAAAATAAAATAAAAGCTAGAAAATTGATATATGTGGTAAAGATGAGGGAGATGTTAAGAGCATGGCTGCACGACGGCTATCTGTGCTATGCCCACTACATGGATCGAACCGCGAAATACAGAATTATAAGTCCTCAAGCCGACTGAGTCACCGAGAAAAAACATGTAAAGTGTGTCTGAATATTTCTATAATTTTACAACCAAACAGAATGTAATTTAAACACGTAAAGTGTGTCTGAATATTTCTATAATTTTACAACCAAACAGAATGTAATTTTCTTCTAACCTGTATTGAAATTTTTCTACAAGTTGTTTTAAGTTTATTCTATGCTACGTTTTACCAAGAAACTAAAGATTCCAATGTTGAACTAATGGATTAAGTATTGATTGTAAAACATTCTCTCGTTTCTAGATAGATTTCGAGGAATATTGGTTTTATTTTATTTTTCTCACAGCCGACTATTGTTTCTCAACCCAATTTCAACGCAGAGAAAGCAGCAACCAAGCTACACAGATGTCTAAAAGGAATTGGTTAGTTTTACTTGCGTCTTCAATTTAAATAAAAGTAGTCTTACTAAATGTTTAGAAAAATTTACAACTGAGAAAAAAAAGTCCAATACATTCAATAAACTATTGTGTGTGTAAAAAAAACAGAGTTCAAAGAAGATTCTTGTTAACCACAATGTTAAAATAGATACCAGAGTTAAAACAAGGTCCATGTTAACCACAATGTTAAAATAGATACCAGAGTTAAAACAAGGTCCATGTTAACCATGGTGTTAGAAAAGATACCAGAGTTAAAGTAAGAATCATGTTAACCACATTGTTAAAATAGATACCAGAGTTAAAGTAAGAATCATGTTAACCACATTGTTAAAATAGATACCAGAGTTAAAGTAAGAATCATGTTAACCACATTGTTAAAATAAATACCAGAGTTAAAACAAGGTCCATGTTAACCATGGTGTTAGAATCATGTTAACCACATTGTTAGAAAAAAACAACTATTTCCATTCTATAAACAATTCATTGTTAGCCTTCTAATCTTATTCTGTATATGATTTACTGTTATCCAATTAATCCCTTTCTGTAAAAAAATCACTGTTATCCTGCTATTTCTATTCTGTGTACAATTCACTGTTATCCTGCTATTTCTATTCTGTGTACAATTCACTGTTATCCTGCTATTTCTATTCTGTGTACAATTCACTGTTATCCTGCTATTTCTATTCTGTATATGATTTACTGTTATCCAATTAATCCCTTTCTGTAAAAAAATCACTGTTATCCTGCTATTTCTATTCTGTGTATAATTCACTGTTATCCTGCTATTTCTATTCTGTATACAATTCACTGTTATCCTGCTATTTCTATTCTGGGTACAATTCACTGTTATCCTGCCATTTCTATTCTGTATACAATTCACTGTTATCCTGCTATTTCTATTCTGTGTACAATTCACTGTTATCCTGCTATTTCTATTCTGTGTACAATTCACTGTTATCCTGCTATTTCTATTCTGTGTACAATTCATTGTTATCCTGCTATTTCTATTCTGTGTACAACTCACTGTTATCCTGCTATTTCTATTCTATAAACAATTCACTGTTATCCTGCTATTTCTATTCTGTGTAC